TAGGAAGGTTGAAGACCAGACGAGCCGCTGCATTCTGGATGAGCTGCAGAGGTCGGATGGCACATGCAGGTAGACCAGCCAGGAGGGAGTTGCAGTAGTCTAGGCGTGAGATGATGAGACCCTGGACCAGAACCTGCGTTGTTTTCTGGGTCATCTGTGGACGTATCCTCCTGATGTTGTAAAGTGTGTATCTGCAGCAGCGGGTTGTAGCAGCTATGTTTGCAGTGAAGGACAGTTTGTTATCTAGGGTCACACCCAGATTCCTTGCAGTCTAAGTCGGGGAAACAACAGAGGTGCCGATGTTGATTGTCAGGTCAAGAGTGGGACAATCTTTTCCCGGAAGGAAAAGCAGTTCAGTCTTGTTAAGGTTGAGTTTGAGGTGATGAGCAGACATCCACTGAGAGATGTCAGCTAGACAAGCAGAGATGCGTGCGACGACCTGGGTCTCTGAGCGGGGAAAGGACATAATTAGTTGGGTGTCATCAGTGTAGCAGTGGTATGAAAAACCATGCGGGCTAATGACTGATCCGAGCGAGTTTGTGTACAGGGAGAAGAAGAGGGGACCAAGAACAGAGCCCTGAGGGACCCCTGTAGTTAATTGACAGGAGTCGGACTCGGACCCTCTCCAAGTTACCCTGTAGGTACGGTCTTTGAGGTATGAGGTGAGGAGGGAAAGGGAAGAGCCTGAAACTCCAAGTTTTTGGACAGTTTGAAGGAGGATCTGATGATTCACTGTGTCGAATGCAGCAGACAGGTCCAACAGGATGATGACAGAGGAGAGGGATGCAGTTTTGGCAGTGTGCAGTTCCTCCGTGACAGCAATGAGAGCAGTTTCTGTGGAGTGACCTGCCTTGAAACCAGACTGGTGCGGATCCAGAAGGTTGTTCTGATGGAGATAACAGGAGAGTTGTTTAAAGACAGCGCATTCAAGTGTTTTAGATAGGAACGGGAGGAGAGAGACAGGCCTGTAGTTTATAACATCAGACGGGTTGAGAGTGGGTTTCTTTAGGAGAGGGTTTACTCTTGCCTCCTTGAGACTGTTTGGAAAGTGACCAGAAGTTAGAGAAGTATTGATGAAATGGGTGAGAAACGGTAGAATATCAGGAGCGATAGTCTGAAGGAGGTTTGAAGGGATAGGGTCCAGAGGACAGGTGGTAGGGCGGGCAGAGGTAATGAGGGTAAGAACCTCACTTGGAGAGAGAGGGGAAAAGGAGGTTAGTGTGTGGGTGAAAGGAGGGTCTGGTGACACAGCAGTGAGTAAAGGTGAGTCAGAAAAAGAAGAGCGAATATCATCAACCTTTTTTTCAAAATGGTTAACAAAGTCGCTTGACAGAAGGGAGGAGGGGGAAGGGGCTTTGGGGGGGTTCAATAGGGTGGAAAAGATTGAAAATAGTTTTTTGGGATTGGAATAGGAAGATTGGATCTTATCTTGAAAGAAAGTGCTTTTTGCCTGAGAGATCGAAGCAGAGAAAGAGGAGAGGAGAGCCTGATAGGTTAGGAGGTCGTCATGGTGTTTGGATTTCCACCGTTTCCGCTCTGCTGCCCTAAGGATGGTTCTATTAGCACGCAGTGCTAACTCTCAATGAATATAAGAAAGCACTGTGTAAAGCGAGAGCAGCTTCATTAATAGATGAGAATAAGAATAATGCAAGATTTATTTTCAGCACTGTAGCCAGGCTGACAGAAAGCCACAGCTCGATTGAGCCTTCTATTCCCATAGCACTCAGTAGCAATGATTTGATGTGCTTTTAATGATAACATTGTTTCTCTTGGAAACAAAATCAATGACCTCTTGCCTTTGACCAGTATAGTGTTATCAACAGCTTCCGGAAATGTAAGCTCTAATATTACACTAGATAGTAAACTAGAATGCTTTTCAGCCATAAACCTTGAACAATTACATTTAATGATTCTTTCTTCGAAACCATCAACGTGTATCTTAGACCCGATTCCAATTAAGCTGTTAAAGGAAGTTTTTCCATTAATTAGCACTTCTTTATTAAATATTATGAATATGTCTTTATTATCAGGCTATGTTCCACAATCATTCAAACCTCTTCTTAAAAAGCACAACCTCGATCCAGAGGTGTTAGCCAATTATAGACCTATTTCTAATCTCCCATTCCTCTCAAAAATTATTGAGAAAGCGGTCGCAAAACTACAAGGATAATCTGGTGTTTTTTAGTCGATGAGTAGTGCAGATATCACTGTAAAATCAATCGACAGTAAGAGGAATACTTACTTCCGGGTGTACAATTCTCCGTTATCCAATGAGAATGGACGCTCACATTGCCCACTGTTTTTTGAGAACAGAAATTGATAAATAATGCACCATAATACATTCTGACGAAAAATACAAATTATTATGAATACAAATAAAATAAAAGAAGCCTCCCGTGAGTTACTATAAGCTATAAAGTAGATTTAAAAAACGTTTTAGCTCACTGCAGGACGTTGTAGAAATGCGTGTGTGCACCAGGCAAAGGAGCCTCATTCACTTAACATTGGGGTTGTTTGCGTGGTGCAGACACGTAAATGTAGCAAAGTTCGTGACTCCACCACGCAATCCGGTGTTAAGGAGTCGTGGTGGAGTCACCCATTCTGGTGAGATCAGGTTGCGAAATGCGTGGGTGCACCACGACAAAGGAGCCTCATTCACTTAACATTGGGGTTGTTTGCGTGGTGCAGACTCGTAAATGTAGCAACGTTCGTGACTCCACCACGCAATGTGGTGCTAAGGAGTCGTAGTGCAGTCACGCATTTTTTTAAATGGCTAATATTGGCCTACAATACCCCTTTATTGATCAAATAGGAATATAATTGTCTTTACAAAATCGTAAACTAAAGGGAACAATCTATTTGACACAGCTGAAGCTCTGGCCTTCCTTAAAAACTAAGTCATTTAAATCACAGTTGTATTACACACAATGCACTGTTTTTTGAGAACAAAAATTGGTAAATAATGCACCATAATACATTCTGACGAAAAACAAAAATTATTATGTATACAAATAAAATAAAAGAAGCCTCCCGTGAGTTAAGCTCACAAGCTATAAAGTAGATTTAAAAAACGTTTTATAGAATACAAAGCTCACTGCAGGACGTTGTAGAAATGCGTGTGTGCACCACGACAAAGGAGCCTCATTCACTTTACATTGGGGTTGTTTGCGTGGTGCCGACACGTAAATGTAACAAAGTTAGTGACTCCACCACGCAATGTGGTGTTAAGGAGTCGTGGTGGAGTCACGCATTCTGGTGAGAGGGAGCTCATCCAGATGAAGCAGCAGATAGCCACGCTGATGCAGCGGTCCAGGGCGGATCCTGCTCAGCTAGAGAGGCCGCAGTCCCGGCTCTCAACGAAGAAATTGGCAGAGGAGAAGGAAACTAAAGACGAGGAAGAGGCCTTTCTAGCCCAGGAGGAGCGGGTGAAAATGGCCGAAAAGATCCGTCAGAGAGATCGCGTCAGGCAGCAGAACCAGCAGGAGCGCCGGGAGAGGAAGAATCAGATCCCGAAGAGGAAGAAAGGGAAGCTTCCTTCTGACTTCACGCCCCCCCCTGAGGAAACCAAGGGGAAGCAGAAACCTTGCAGGGAAGCCAAGGTTTTTAAGACACTGTGCTTCCAGGGGAGAGGGGTGAGGAAATGTAAAGGAGGTGATCTCTGGGGCCATAGATCTCGGCCTCCGTTACGGATTCTGTAGCTTCATTGGTGGCAAAGTGTATGTAGTTTGTTCATCTGTCTGTGTTTCAGTTTCTCTGTCTCTGTTTTATGTTGAAAAGTGTTCCACCATCCCCATGTCTGTAGTCTGTTGCTGATTGTGTGCACATGTGTCCTGTTGGTTTGATTAATGTGGGTGTGTATTTAGGCTCTGTTGCCCTGTCTGTTTGGAGGCTGGTAGTGTGGTGGCTGGTGACTGTGCGCACAGGAGCAGCAGATTGAGGCTGTGTCATATCATATGTGTATGAGTTAATAAATGCCCACACCGGGTTGTATTTTTGGACGTTCTGCCTCTGCCTCCTTGCTTGGTCGGGACGCTCAATTGTCAGCTTCACAGTATTGCACGGAGAATCAAAATAGTAATTGGGAATATAACAAAACATGATCAAACAGGTTTTATAAAAGGGCGTTTTATTGGATATAATATTCGCCATCTGCTTGATATGATAGATAATCATGAAGAGGATGGAAATGTATTGATGACTTTAAAAAAGCCTTTGATACAGTAAGAGGAGATTTCATTCAAAAATCCCTCCAATTCTTTAATTTTGGGGAAACCATTATACAGTGGGTGAAGGTTTTATATAACCAACCTACCAGTAAAATAGTTAATAATGGATATTTATCAAAAAGCTTCAGCCTGTCCAGAGGCGTACGTCAAGGGTGTCCACTGTCTCCATATCTGTTTCTATTATGCATTTAAATTCTTGCTATCAGAATTAGAAACAATGCATGTATAACAGGCTTAAGATCAAATGGTATTGAAACAAAAGTAACATTATATGCAGATGATGCAGCTTTCTTTCTACAGCCTGAAAAAACTGCATTAGATGCCCTCATAGTTGATTTAAATAACTTTTCAAAATTAGCTGGGCTAAGGCCTAACTTTGATAAATGCTGTATTATGAGAATAGGAACATTAAAAGGCACATATTTCAAGCTACAATGCTCAGCTCCAGTCAAATGGTGTAATGGTTCAGTGGATGTTCTGGGAGTTCATATTCCAGAAAATCTCAAAGATCTAGTTAAGGTACATTTTTTGCGAAAAATGCAGAAAACGGAGAAAATAATTCAACCTTGGAAAGGGAAAGCTCTCTCCTTACAGGGAAAGATTACATTAATTAATGCTCTTGTGATTCCACAGTTTGTTTATCTCTTAATTTCACTTCCCTCCCAGAGGCGTCTTTTTTGAAAAGCTTTGAACAACGAATGTTTAAGTTAATCTGGAATAATAAGCCTGCCAAGATAAAAAGGCAATACATATAATACACTTGAAAATGGTGAACTAAACTTAAAAAAGGTGGCAGCAATGAATTCATCCTTAAAAGCATCTTGGATTAATAAAATGTATCATAATAGTCTTTGGAGAACAAGTCAGAACTTATTTTCAGGGCACTTGTTTTTTGACTGTAAACTGTTTCCCTTTTTCCAATTAAAATCTCACCACTGTGATGGTTATTCAAATACATATTAGTAGAAATCTCACCATTTGTTAGAGATGCATTGAAGGCTTGGTTGAGTTTCCAGTATTACCCCAGATACACCAGAATAAATCCAAAATCAATTAGTATGGTTGCACTCAGAAGTAGATGGAAAACCACTATTATGGGAAAGTCTCCTGAGAAAGGGAATTATTTTCATGAATGATTTACTAGATAGCACAGGTAATTTAATTTCATATCAGTGTTTTCGCTGTATGTATGGTCAGATATGTGATTTCCTTCACTTTAACCAGCTGCTTTCAGCTTTTCCAACTAACTGGAAACGCAAATAAAAAAAAGATGGAAACCGACAACAAGAAGTCAGAAATGGTTTTCAAAAATGAAAATAAATAGAATCATTTATGATCACTGTTTACAGAGCAAGGGCCTTACTGCTTTTCCTCATGCAGTCTGTTCTTTCTGGGAAGAATAATTTAATATTCTGATACCCAGGAAACCATTTTTTAGAACCATATACAAAACAACAATTGATTCCTATTCAAGAATCTTCCAACTGAAGATCTTTTACAAGATTATCGCTACAAAAAACAACTCACCACTTTTAATATTGAACCGTCACCACTTTGTAGATTCTGTGAGGAGGAAGAGCAAGACCAGATGCATTTATTTTTTGTATTGTCCATATGTTGCAAGACTGTGGACTGAGATTCAAAATGGGCTTAAGACACTTTATATTGATTTTGCATTTACTCCCTCTGGTCTTTTGTTTGGGTTTTTGGATGAGGACAATACACAGTTGATGAATACAATTATTCTTCTGGCAAAAATACTGATTTTCAAAGCTCAATTAAGGGGAAATCTGAATTTAAGGTGTGTGAAAAGTAGATTAAAAACAAAATTTATTTTGGAAAGGATGATTGCCACAAAGAATCAAAGGATGGCTCAACACACCATGAAATGGGAAACAATCAGCTCTAGTGAAGAGTGGGATAAAAAGGAATAATACATGCTTTTGATGATATTGTACTGTCAACCTATTTTTTGTTTTGTTTATGAAATGTTGAAGTGACCAACTGACTGTGATTTATTATTTTTGTTTCTGTTTTTTTTTTGTCTGAGATAGGAATGTCTCTTTTTGTTATTGTAATGTCCATGTTTTGTGTCTGTAGCCTACACTGCGTTACTATAGTAACTACCCCAGTTCATAAACTGTAATGGAAGCGCAGCATTGAAGTGAGCCGGGCCTAATAAGGCCCAACCAAACCGAGCGAGGCCTGCAGTGGAAACGCGCCATAAGACTAGCTGGTCCCTTGTAAAGGTGAGTCCACCTTAAATGAGCAGTCGGTGATCAGCAGGTGAAAGGCAGGACACAGGAACTTGGTCCTGAGGAGATGTAACGATTATTAAACAAGAAATAGTCGAGTCAAGAGGTCAAAGAAAATGAAGATTTGTGATTATTAGCGAATCGGTTGAAGGTGGGGGAAATCAGGCTTAGGGAGTAACATATTACATGTAACGGCATGAGGTCATCAGGATACAACATAGACAAATGTATTCCCTGACAGTTACAGAAGCAGCTGACGACCAACACACTTATGTCTTTTGAAACGATTATTCCATTTAAATCTTTTGTCACAAACATTGCAGCTCTATTTTTCCTCTCCTGTGTGGACTCTCATGTGTGTCTTTAAACTATCACTCCGTGAAAAAGCTTTCTTACAGACTGAGCAGCTGTGTGCTTTCTCTCCTGTGTGGACTCTCATGTGTGTCTTTAAATTTCCACTATGTGAAAAAGCTTTCTTACAGACTGAGCAGCTGTGTGCTTTCTCTCCTGTGTGGACTCTCATGTGTGCCTTTAAATCTGCACTCTGTGAAAAAGCTTTCTTACAGACTGAGCAGCTGTGTGCTTTCTCTCCTGTGTGGACTCTCATGTGGTTCTTTAAATGTGCACTCCGTGAAAAAGCTCTCTTACAGACTGAGCAGCTGTGTGCTTTCTCTCCTGTGTGGACTCTCATGTGTGCCTTTAAATGTGCAGTCTGTGAAAAAGCTTTATTACAGACTGAGCAGCTGTGTGGTTTCTCTCCTGTGTGGACTCTCATGTGTTTCTTTAAATGTGCACTCCGTGAAAAAGCTCTCCTACAGACTGAGCAGCTGTGTGGTTTCTCTCCTGTGTGGACTCTCATGTGGTCCTTTAAATTTCCACTCCGTGAAAAAGCTTTCTTACAGACTGTGCAGCTGAATGGTTTATTTTCATCACTACGTTGTGGATCACTGACAGATTCATGTCTATTTTTCAGTGAGTTTGAGCCTGATGCAGGTTCTCTGGTCTCCTTCCAATCAGCACTGTCTTCAGTGTCAGGTTCAGAAGAGTCTCCAGTGTCGTCCTCAGTCTTTGGTTGTAAACTGCTCTCTGGATCTGAGCTCCTGGCTGGTTCTGGTCCTCGACAGTCATCTCCATCAGCTTCTGTTTCCATGTGTTCAGTTTGTCTTTGATGAGGCTGTGAGGACTGAGGTTTCTCTTTATCATCTTCACTCTTCACAGGGTCAGGAGTGAAAGTGGACTTGGTGATCTCAGCCTCCTCCAGCTCCTGAAGCTGCTCTCCCTCCTGACTTATCCTGAGTTCCTCCTGTTCCTGCTTAATGTGTGGGGGGGGCTCTGGGTCCTCCGGGTCCAGACTGGTGCTCCACTCCTGCTGGTCAGGGAGAAACTCTTCTTTAACCACCAACAGCAGCTGGACATCTGCAGGAAACAGGAAACACACAGTCAGAACAAACTGTTAAGTGTTAGCATTTAAAAATCTAATCACCATTACAATGGGAGACATTTTGCAGCCCTAATTAATGCCTTTGTTTTTATATTTTCACATTATCTTTCTTATGCTACGTTCACACAGGACGCGATGCGAATATTCGCTTCGCTCTAATCGCTCAAGTTTCACCGCGGCTTGCAGTTTCACCGCGGCTTGCAGTTTGTTTTATCTCGTCATTCAAAACAGACATACCGTTGACGCGCCGCGCCGTTGACGGACAGTTGAGGTTGTTTACATTTCCATGCAAGATCGTTTTGGTTATTTCTGTCGTTAACTATGGAGGATATAACAATTATTGCTGCTTTGTACCTTCTGTGGAAGTCCTACAAACGTAGCAACAAACGCCACTCTGTCTGGGTTCACAATGTAATCAAGCATCGCACACAGTTTGGTGAATATCATTGTTTAATCAAGGAACTGCGCCTGGATGACTGCCGTTTCCAGCGGTATTTTAGGATGACCTGTGTCCAGTTTGATGATCTTCTAGCTTGGGTTGGTGTCAGGATTTCCCGGATGGACACAAACTACAGGCGTTCCCTCTCAGTTGCGGAGCGCCTGTTAATATGTCTCCGGTAAGTTGCTTTGTTTTGTTTTTTATTAGCGTGTTAATATGAATACAAAATATTTCATGAATCTTGCACGTCATGGTAAATCAATGCCACAGCACTATGGATCAAAATGAACTGTTTGCTGTTATTTAATTATAATAAATGTTTAAAAGGGATGCTTAAATAACTCCCATCATGATAGTTTTAATTACTTTGTATACTGCAGGGTAGCTTGTGAATTTACTAATTGTCTAATCTGATTTAACACTTGATTATATTTCACATCATTATTTCAAATCTGGAAAGTAACTAAAGGTATTAAATACATACCATTTAATGTAGCCTACTTAGTTACTTTACACCACTTTTTCAGGTTATGTCTTCATACAACTTTGTTTGATTTATTTTATATATGTTTCTTTTCTTTTGTGCTGCAGGTATCTTGCTACAGGAGATTAATTCAGGACAATTGCCAACAGCTTCCGTGTTGGTGTCTCAACAGTCTCTACCATCATCCCTGATGTGGCCACTGCTATATGGGACTGCCTTGTGGAGGAGTTCATGGCTGTGCCCTCTACAGAGGAGTGGAGGTCAATAGCAGAGAAGTTTGAGGAGCGGTGGAACTTTCCTCTCTGCTGTGGAGCATTGGATGGGAAACATGTTGTCCTCAAAGCCCCAGAAAACACAAGATCCCAGTTATTTAACTACAAAGGAACATTCTCACTTGTTCTTTTGGCAGTTGTGGATGCAGAGCGTTGCTTTCGTGTCATTGATGTTGGGGGCAATGGAATAACTAGTGATGGTGGCATTCTGGCCAACTCTGCTTTTGGTCAAGCCCTGAAATCTGGCTCCCACCAACTGCCTGCTGGCCTGCCACTCTCAGGAGGTGACCACCTGGGACCCCTGCCACATGTATTTGTTGCAGATGAGGCCTTTCCTCTCAGGAAAAACCTCATGAGGCCATTCCCTGGGCGCAACCTTCCCAGAGAGCGCAGAATATTTAATTACCGTCTGTCTCGAGCTCGGCTTGTCGTAGAGAATGCCTTTGGGATTCTCTCCTCTCAGTGGAGGATGTACAGGCGTGTAATTGAGGTCCAGCCAGAAGTTGCAGAGAAGTTTGTGAAGGCTACCTGTATTCTGCATAACTTATTGCACAGGACAACCCAGGCAAACACACAGATGGCCTTCTCAGTTGCTGATGTGGAGCCACTGCCAGGTCTAGGAAGAATTGTAGCCAACAACTCCGCAAGAGAGGCCATCAGAGTTCGGGAGGTGTTCACATCATACTTCAATGCAGAGGGAACGGTCCCATGGCAAAACAACGTGTAATGCACCAGCACACATTAAAAGGCTCTTTTAAGAGCCACCCACACATACTATTGAGCAACCTCCTGCAACATTTCTATCCCAACACCAGATTTAGGTCACCAATTCATATAATTATTTCTGTTAAATCCATGAATTATTGTTTTGTGAGGTGGTGCCACTTTCTGCTTTTTAAATGACTTTATGATTTTAGGCAAAGTATATAATAGAAGGACATTTTGACTTTGAATGTTATAGAATTATGAAAATATGCAGTCTGTTATTGTGACGACCCCTCCACACCACGAGGGGTGCCGTCGGCTCTGTGTGTGTGTGATTACAGGATCCAGTGCTGTGGGGCCGGCATTTGTCTGATGAGCTGCACCAGGGTCGGGGAGCCGAGAGCCAAACCGGATTCGTCCCTCGGCCTCATTCCTCTTGGCACTCTCTTCATGCCAGCCTCGGGGGACCTATTGCTGTCTTCGTTTATTTGTTTAAATATAAATAAATTATTGTAATATTGTCGCACCTCGTCTCCACTCTCAGGTTTTGTTATATGTGACACTTATATTTCTAGAAAGGATTATATGTGACTAGGAATACTCTGTTACAAGTAAAAGTTAGTTACTTTACACTACTGTGCACAATACAATCACCTTAAATTACATTATTAATTATGTGATGACCATAAAGAAACCTAAAGAAAAGTATGTGATGGCGAAAGAATAAAGGAACATACGTTGGTAACATTAAACAAAGTTGTATTATCAATTTAAATAAATATATACAATGATTATAAATATTTTTAAAAAGCCTGGTTTGTTCCCTTCAAAGCTTGTCAACCCATGGCAGGTAATCTATAACAATTCCAAATTTAGCACAACTGTGCTTGCTTCATAAATTAATTAATGTATTTCAAACTTTACAAAGTTCTTCTGCTGCGTTGGCAGTCTTTGAAGGGAAGGAAGCAGGCTTTGGAGGAAATGCTCATTCTCCGAGAGTGGGGCGGCAGGCAGAGCACCGGACCCCCGTGTATGGGCCTCAAGGAGGCGTTCATGCACCTCCTTTTCATTGTCTACTACACTCCTGGGCCTTTTTCTTCCTGCATGACAAAAACAAATATCATTTTTTTAGTGAAGGTACAGCAATGCATCAATACAATAAAATGCAATCAAAACTGTCATTTACATTCCCCTTGGTGCTCTGCCTACACCACTAGGTACTGCAGGGGCATCAGTGGGGACAGCAGCAGAGACAGCAGGAGGGGCATCAGGGGGATCATCATGATCCTCTGCCTCACTGCCCTCTGAAAACTCATGTTCATCTGTAAATATTGAAAATATAAGAAAGATGTATTTTGTATTCCATTGAGGCAAATATAATAATGAGATAGTAAAATGGAACAGGTAATGTAATTCTAGATTTTGTGAGAATACAACTTTTTACAATTGCACTTGTATTATTATAATTACTTATTGATAAATTAAGCAGTTATAGCCTTGATATTCTCTTAAACTTTGATTTACATTTTTTTTTGGAGATATTCTGTATGACTTTCCTATGCAGTGTGAATGAGTGTCTCCACTTGTCAACCAATCTCTTCCGTCTGCTCCCTGTGCTTCACCTCCATACTCTGAGGTCCTGTCTTCCTTGACACCATATTGCTGGTGGTTTTTCTTGGGGTAACAAATGGGTCGAGGAAGGACAGGACCGCAGAGTATCTCCACTTTTTATTGGTCCCTGCTGCTGACCCACTCCTTTTATCTTCCTTCTCCCTCTTCCTTTCTTTGACATACGTGTCCCTCATACTCTTCCATTTCTTTCGGCATACCTCCTCTGACAAGAAAAAAATGTTTACAAATGGTAACTTTTAACCGTTATCTGCCGTTAAACCGGCGGTTGAGCCAACTTGGTTAATGCTAAATCTGTAATCAAGCAAACAACGGATGTATATTTTGTATAACTTACCAGGTATGCCTACTTCCTCGCTTATTTTCCTCCATGCGAGCTCTTTCTTGTTGCGGTCCCGGTAGATATACGACATTACATCATATATCTCCGGGAACCCACTCACACTATTTTCTCTTGCATCTTTTACAACTGATCAACAGCAGGACGTCAGAGGGACGTCAGAGGGAATCCCAACGCTGATTGGCTTCCACGAGAACGCGTCATGTGAATTTGACGCCCGAGTTGAAAAAATTGAACTCTCGCGTTTGACGCGGCCCCCTTCAAATCGTGTGATTCGCGCCGCGTCCACCACTTCATGCGCGCCGTCGGAGCGAATTCGCGTCTGATCGTGTCTCTGCATTGACTTTACATGTAATCGCGCCGCCCCCAAATGTCGCATCGCGTCCGGTCTGAACGCAGCATTAGTCCCACCTATTGTGTATTTGTGTTGGCTCAATTCACCTTATGTAGGCCCGCCCCTTTCCACTTCCAGTTAAAAATGAAAACGTTTTTTCTTCTTCCGGCATAGCACTAGCTGCAATGTAAACAATGAATTCTATGTGGGATCGTTCACAGATACACTACGCCTACAGTTAGTGCTGCGTACCGGTACGCCGAACCGGTACTGGACTT